TGTGTGTGTGTGTGTGTGTGTGTGTGTGTGTGTGTGTGTGTGTGTGTGTGTGTGTGTGTGGGGGTCACCTCGAGTCAAATTATCAAGGAACTATCTTGGACTCTCAGTCCTCTGATGGGCCTTCTAATGGACAAAAACTCTGTTCCACTTAGAAATGTACAGTATTTAGGCCACCCAAGGCCACTTCCCTTCTAAATCAGAGAAGAACAGAAGAATCTTCTCTTATTTGATTTAGCGTTCTCTTAACTGAAAGTATTACGCATTTTGATAATCAGAGAATGTTTATCAAAGTTACAGGAGAAGAGAGGACAGATCTCTTTTCTCCCTCAGTATGATTTCAGCTATGTATGGTTTTTCTGTGGGAAAAATTCTTATTTAACTAAAACAATCTTTAGGGTTTAAGTTGATGAAATATCAATGTTTTACTTGTCTGAATCATATTTGCAAATGTTTTGAACTTGAAGCAATTCATTTTTCTTTCAGTTACGTTTTAAACAAGTACTCATCAGATAATTTAAATGGGTCATGAAATGTGTTGTTCTGAACCACACAGCAGCAGCAAATAATCTTTTGTTTCAGGAGGGCACAGCGAGCTCTGAAACTAACACTTTCCTTGATAATTTCTTTTTCTAATCTAACCTTCTGGAGGGCGGACCATAGATTCTCTAAGCTTTTCGGAACTAACAGTTTCCGCCCGTCTAGAACACACAGAGAGAAAAGAAAGAGAGTAAAGGTGACTGACCGCCGTCAGTCACTGTGACAGCTAGATTCTCTCCYGGGAATCAAAAGCTGAAAACTGTGTCAGGTTTGGCCCCTTCATGCCAACGGGGAAACCTCAAAGTGTGGAAAACCACGCCTGGTTTATCCACCTTCAGAAACTCTCCAGACGGAAGTTTTATTTACAACCTGGGTTCCAGTCGAGGCCTTGTCTTCTGGTTACGGCTGACGTGGACGTAAACGAGTCAAAGCGCACGCCTTGGGGTCCCCTGTTCGACGGTCTAAAGACAGATTCTCCAGCAGCACCCCCACTTACCTGGCAGGTGACAGAACATCATCTCAAGGTAAAAGCTGGCTGTGTGTGACGTCGAGGTCTGACCAAAGTTGAGCACAGAACGCTTCGTCCTTCTGGTTAAAACCCACATTATTTAAGATAAAGTATAGAAAAGCTAACATCTTTCTTCAACCTTTTTCTTAACCTTGCCCTTGCCAACTCCTAAGATAAACAGCCTCATTTGTCTGGTATTTAACATCTAAGCTGACATTTGTGTTTCTATTGAAGTGTGGTTAACAATTAAGAAGTTAAAAGCTTGTTATTGTTGGTCCCAAAACTTTTATAGGAAATTAATTGTTCACAATCAGGTGTACTCTAGTCAAATTTTGTATGATTTGTAAAATAAATGATCACATATCATGGTTCAAATCAACATTCACTGACTGAGAGTTACTTTTTGTGTCCATTCATTCTTGCACTAAAGAAATATTTATCCAAACATTAAAAGAGATCCTTGCTAATTATATTACTCTTGTAACCTTGTTATAAGAAGTGTAAGTTGACCCTTACAAATGGTGGAGAATGTGTCCTTTTAATGGTGGAGAATGCGTCCTTTCTTTTCAAAGGATAAATATTTCTGTCTGTGCAAAATATTGAATATGTTAAATTGCTGGTTGGCATTGTGTTTTATGTCATTTCTGAATGACTCATGATAGCAAATTGTCTTGGCTGATGGTGTTCAGAAAAATACAGGTTACTGCAGGCTTGTTTTCTGTCATTATATTACAAAAACTTTGCTATTAATAAATAAAACTTTAAACAAAGCTGCTTATCTATGTGTGAGCTGTCAGTAAGATGACATCACGCAGCAGCTGTAAATCTCTCAGTGAAGCTGACGACTGCTGAAACTAGGCTTAAAAAGCTGTTTTTTAATCTAAACTGCGCTAGAAGGCGAGTTTATGATTATTGCATGCATTTTGTCTAAAGGATAACATGTTTTATCCATTGAACCAGAATATTACAAACACCTTCGTTGTTAAGGGTTAATATCTGAGTTCGGTTATATAACCAGAGGCCTCTCCGCGTGTCCCAAGAGGGTCTCCCGATATAATCAAAACACTCCACTAAAATCTAAATAAACTGGCCATTTATTAGTTTTACACTACTTTCATTAACAGATGAATTTAAGTGAGGAGTGAGACGTCACGGAGCTAACGAGAGATAGCTCCGGGCTACTTCTGGACATAAACTTTACACGTCAGTCCAGATGATGGAAAAACTGTCTCGGTGTGAGCTGGGAGCTCAACCGTATCTGCTAATTAGCGCTTAAAAGACATATCTGAAGTTTTCTGTGTACTTTTTCCGTGTGTAAAAGTAGAAAATAAAGCAGAAAGCCGAGTTCGGATATTTGGACCGAACCGGAAGTGATACACGGGTACTCGCGGAGACGCGCGAACCCGCACATCTGAAGACAGTTTTACAAAGAGAAAACTGTCCGTTTCGCTGTTAAATGTGAAAACATTGCTTACTGTTTGTGCTGGCTGGTCTAAACACTAAGAATTTTGTTCTAAAAAGCTGTCTTAAGCCCTCGAAAAAGTACAGAACCGGAAGTGATGCAAAGCTCGGGTACACAAAATCCCTCTTCATATAGCGATCTCAAAAATAAGAAACCTTCGGAAACTAATTAGCGTGCATAGACACGTTTCGACGAATTAACTCATCTCTCAAAAACACACTCTTTCAGTCAATGTCCTTAATCTGTCTAAATTCCGCCGTTAAACATGTTAATTTAATAAGCTTCTGAGCGAAGCTAACAGGCTAAAAGCTACCGGAACCGGAAGTGCCGCCATCTTAAGCAGGGCATCGTGTCCTCAATGCGACCTAACCAAAATGGCGCCCTAGTGGCCAAATAGTGGTCATAGTCTCCATCTAGTCGTTAAAATAATGCTTTACTGCCATTTCCTCAGTTCAACAACTGGCAATAATTAAAAACACACAAATCTTGCTTTTTAACAAAAATAAAAGCAATAAACAAATATTTAATCCTTCTAAATATAAAATGGTTTATTTATAAAACAACAAATTCCATATTAATCAGGTTTTTAACCCTTTTTCAGAAATTCATGTATGGGAAACACAGTTTGCTGTAAAGGAGTTTTTACTAAAGCTAAATTTAATATCAGTCGTGCTAAGAACACACTGTGTCAGATTTCTGCTTAAAGTTACACAACTTTTATCAAACGAAAAGTGATTAACCAATAGTTGTACCCTGTTAAAATATTTTAA